ATTTTGTAACTTGGACAACTATTTCTAACATGACACTATGTAATCTATTAACTAGTGATTTCTTACTGTTTATTTTTTGGAAATTCTGTATTACTGTATGCTTTTACTGTTTTGTTTTTTTTTTTCTCTTTAAATAAAATTTTAAAAAATATTAAAAAAAAAAAAAAAAAGAAACACCCCCACCTCAGCAACAATGGGTGTTGCAAAACAGGCCCATATAAACTATGTGACTCTTCCAACAACTCTACACACTAAATCACATAGATTTCTTCTTGTTAAATACTAAACACCTCTCAAAACTGCAGTGAGAGTGACGGAAAATGATCACTGATTTTAGGGAAAATCCCACAAGGCTGGCAGAATGCTGAGTCCAAGGCTTGTGGTCCTCGGGTTAGTGTAAGGACAGAGTTTAGAGCGCGGAAGCAAACAGATTAAATCACTTCAGACTTAAATGAGTCATCTCACCTAACTGGACACTTTGGTTAGGTGAACTTTAAGAAGAGCTGAATCTGCAAGAGGGGACCTAAGAGGTGACAGCCATTTGAGAACAGGGGGTCACACTTTAAGCTTTGGGGCCCTTGCCAAGACACGTTACTGTTTCAGCTGCCAACATAAACTCACCTCCCAAAGTCTCATTTTCCTGGCCAGATCGAAACAATGAACTCTGGCCTGTCATCCTACGCACCAGTAAAAACCTAGCAATCAGGACTAGGCAGGGATGCACCCCCTGTTTACATAAAAGCAATCCATCAGGACCAAGTGTGTGGCATTCCTCCTTTGCTTAAGGGTCCTGGGCCGGAACTCTGTCCTTGTAAGCCAGCCCTTCCTCCTTTTCCTTTTCATTTGGGTCCTTTTCTTGGAGCCCTTTCTAGTGAATTCTGTTGAAAGCAGGTTTCAATGAATTAAATCATAGTCACTTACAATTACTAGAAAAGAAGTATCCTACACTGCCATCTGTAAAAGGAGCCCAGAAGCCAGTCGCTGTAGTTTTACTCTTTGTTAGGAGAAGATCCTGGGAAATGCAGAGGATTAGTGTGCAGCCCTGTACCTTCCAAAGGGCCTGCTAGTGTTTCACACACATCACACACTCATGCACTCACTCACAATCAGAATTCTATGCCCTAGAGCATAGCTAGGAAAAATTTAGAGCAAATGTGCAAACGCTGTCTCTGAGTAAGGACCCAACAACAACAAAATGTAAAGTACTCAAAGTGAACTTTATAGATAATATTATAGGTATGTATTCCTGGGACTCTGGATTTCAAAAATCATAAAAAGCCATACCTGTGTGTATATACATTAAAGATATTCTACATGTATATAATAATTACATGTTATACAGTATATAACATTTGACATAATTATTGAACACCATTTATGTGTCTAGGACATGCTGAAGTTTTCCACGTGCCTTTGAATTCTAGATGGAATATTTATTACTTGACTAAGTCTACCCAAATTTCCTTTCCTTAAAAAATCGTTAAATATCTTAGAGAACAATCTTCAGTTATATCTAACAGAATGACATGACATGGTTTCATCAAAAAAAAGGGATGGTTACTAGGTTACTTTTACATCCTTAATTTAAAATGATCTTGTCTTTATTATGTGTAGCAGAAAATCTTCCAAATTCTGTCACTTTATTTCCTATTAGCCCCAAAATAAGCACACACATATTCTGACCCTACTATGAGCTCATTTTGATAATTTACATCCAAATATCAGAAGCAGTGAAAAGCAGGAAGAAAATTAGATTTCCACGCTAATTTAATATCCTTTTAAAGATTTCACTAAAGATTATAACTAAACAGAAATGTACAAATTTTTAAATGACAGAGGGTCTAGACTTTAACATCTTTACAATTCATGACCATGGTGGAATCCAGATTGAAAGGAAAATGACCTAATGTTGAGATAGAATGAGCGATCTATGTATCCACCTCTGTGTCTGTCTGTACTTAGCAAGGACAGTAATTTGAAATATGGCAGTTTTCACTTTGAACGAATGTGTTTATTTGTGTTCCAAGAGGCTGCTGCTGTTACATGGTTCCTTATAGAATTGATCAGTGATAAAATACAGATGTATCCAGTGTGTACAACATGATTATATGTTTTTCCCAGATATCTTTTGTCTCTTAGATATGTTTTTCTAATTTAGTTTAAAGATGTTTCTTTCCCTACTTCCTGAAACAAATGAGCTTTATTTTTTCCCCTGAATCAATCACCTCCTGCTTACAATGCAATATTTGGCATTTTTAAGTTGCTGAGCCTATGGAATATACGGCTTTTAAAAATAAACTTACAATTCTTCTGATGAGGCTCTATGTGCATTCATCCCACACAGTACTTAATCCCAAGCTTTCCACACTCCTCACATCACCGTGAAACGTCCTTTCTCATTTTTGTCACAGCGTGTCTCCTCTCCACGGTCCCTGCCTAAAGATGAGGTAGGGCAGGGCACTTCAGTCACCACAGAGAGGAATTTTTAATTAACGGAAAGACCCAGGTCGTGCTCAATGGCCTGGTTACCTGGGTCCCATATTAGGAATAAACTTAGCTCTGTATTATTCCTCGTCGCCTATAGTTGCTTTCTTAACCTAGGAAGCAGATCTACTTTCTTTACTATTTAACTCTAACCAGGGAATGTGTTCCTTTTCCAAGTCAAAGAGAAAATAACTACCAAAAGAAGAAGAGAATGAAAATCCAAGAGAACATTCTCTTCTCTTGGACTTTTCCTAGAGATAGCATTTGCATTAGTTATTCTTTGCAGTATAACAATATGTGACATATTCATTGCTTAGACATACCATAGATATGATTAAAAAAAAAACAAAACACCAAAACAACAGGCCAGAGGAGTGCAGCACTCACTGCAGGTTTAACGTGGGCTTCCTTTTCTACACCTACTGAGAAGTTAGTCGGCTGTCAGCCAAGGTCCCCCCAGTGCAGAACTGTCTTCAGATCACAGTACTGGAGCAGAGAAAAGAGGATGTAAGTTCCCCAGGATGCTGTCACACTCCCATGCGACTGTACTTGGTCTTGAAAATCATGAGAAGTAGGCTGATAATAGCAATGATATCCTTTGATAAGAATAATTGCCTTTTCAGAGGAAGAAACAGGGAAGGATTTGAGGACGGAGCACCTACCAGCAGATTCAGCATGGCAGTGCAGCCCTGCTGACTTCAGGATTGCTCCAGTCTATGGAAAGAACATGTCCTAGAGCCACGAGGGGTTTTCCTCACATCGTAAGAAATAACTTATAATCTGATCTTGCCTGTGACACTAAGCCCAGAGAGGAGAGAAACTGAGTTACGGCAAAATCACATCTTCCTTTTGAGGATATTGCTAGTCCTAGTCACAAAGTCACCAGAAAGAATTCTGAGACTGAATTGTGGCTCTAACAGAAACAAACAAATAAAAGATTAATAAAGGGCTGTCAATCAGGCAGCACCTCCAGAGCCTTCCAACCTGAATGCACAAATGATTGCAGAGGTGTTCGCCTCCGGCGAAATAAATACCACCATTCAGAGGAGACAGGAGAAATTTGGACTTGAAAGTAGTCTGGTAGAGGTGCTCAAGAAAGACCTTTGCAAACACAATCTAGAGCTTATTATAGGGAATTGGCAGCAATTCCTCCTACGTCATAAAAACCAGACAATCGCAAAGCCAGAGACACCCACCATGACTTAGGTGACACCATAAAGGTCTTCAAAACAAAAAGGTATCTCAGTAGAGCTCACTAATAAATGGGAACTATGTACACAAATGTATGCTTCATATCTCAAAATATGTACAAATACATACATATGTAAATATATGTGCATATATATATATATATATATACACATATTTGTATATTCCAAATGTCATGACATACATGCACAGATTTCATCATCACTATATTAGGAACCAACAGTAAACTTTCATCTCCCACTTCAAGAATCTCCTTCCTCGCTGTGGCTACCAAATTATCTGAACCCTGAAATTCTCTCCTGACCATGCAGAATAGATGGCCAGTATCTTTCCTGATCGGGTTTCCACACTCAGGTCACTTCTTGAACTCCACGAAGCTGCTTAGGAATCTGTTGTTCCCTTTGTGCACGTGGTACACTCTTGGTGGGGGAAGGAAAAGTGCTGACTCGACATTCCCGGAAGCTTTACATCATCTTGAGGAACAGGCTCACTCACCTAAGTAGACACACTAGAGGGAGTTGTCCTTCGGGAGCCCAGCCTCTGCTCCAGTCAGTTTAGAGAGAAGACAGAGCAGCTGAGGAGAGAGTGAGCCTGGCTGGACTTCTCAAACACAGAGCCTGCCAGCAGCTCCGGGAAGGAGCCTCTGCCCTTACTCAGGGGGCATTTTGAGAATAATGCAGTCAGATGCATTTAACAGACGTCGGTGTGAGTGGCAAGATGTCACTAGCTGTGAGCATGCCAACAAGGTGGCCCCGGAGCATGTGAAATGGTGGCTAATGTCAATGACACATGTCAGAGAGGTAAAATGCATGAGGTGTTTCAAACTCGGTACCAAAGAGTAAAACAGCTCCATACACGGCTCCAGGCTTCACCAATACTGTTTTATAAATCCTTAAATAAAGTGTGTGTTTAAAATAACTCGTTAATTTCATCTGCTTCTTTTACTTTTTAAAGTATGCATCCAGACAATTTAAGATGACCCATGTGCTGTGTAGTACACGTCCCCTGAACAGGACTCCTCTAGTTTTCTTATTGTGAGTAACCCTGTAGGCCTGGCATGGGGGCGCCTGCCTGTAACCCCAGCACACTAGGAGGCTGAGGTCAGAGGATCACAGGTTTATATTTCATGGGCTTCCTGTAGCCTGGATCATTGGTGATAGACATGTAGCAAAAATAAGGCTTTGAAAAGGTCAGTCTGTACATATAAAGGACAGATTCCAAAATGTGGCAGCCTCCCAGGGCTGCTTGTCAGCTCCTAAAATAAAATCAAAATACCCCTCCTAAGGCAGAGGAGCTGGGAAGGCGGCCTCTGCTGGTTGCAGGGCTTCCGGGTACCTAAGGGGGGGGGGGGCGCTGTGCTTCCTGGGCTGCTTCTACACACGAGCTGAAACGCATTTCATGTGCATCCAAAACGTTGTTGAGTAAGAGAAAGACAGAAGGATGAGAAGAAAAAGTAAGGAAAACACTCCAACCAGGAGCAGACCAAATATTTAACAAGCAGGTGGAAGGGCCCATTTGGGATCAAATGCAAGAACTCATCACGCCAAACAGGCAGCGGAACGGGTGCAAGAAGGACCGAGCCCGGACAGTGAGCTGGGCGCAGGAGTCCCCTCAAGTGGGAAACAGACACCCAGAACGTTATGGAGAACTCTGGTGAGTTTCTATTAAGACTCGTGCACACTTATACCGAGACTGATAATTAGGAATGTTTGCAAAACTAGCTTAAAAAGTAAGTAGATGAAACAAGATTTGAAAAGCAATCAAGCCACAAGGGGGAAGAAATGAAATTTGATAAATATCCAATCATGAAAACCAGGTTAAAGCTAACTGAATGCAAATCAGAATAGCTTCGTTTTCTTCATGGAAACAGAGTTTCATGGAAGAGGGAAGACGTGGCAAAGTTATAAATTGAGGGTTTTCAATGTCAAATAGTAGCAAAAACTTACAACCAATTATTAATGGATAGATCACTACGATTTTATCGTACATATTGATGATAAATCTCAGCTCTTATGTACATTAACCTATTCATTTGCATATATTCTATGCATCAAACATTTTTTAAAAACTCTAGTATTTCAAGTATGGTTCTTTTCCCTTGAGGTATATTAGTGAAAAAATCAAATAAAATTTCTCTTTTTAAAGAATCTCTATTACACAAGCAAAATGAACAGAGATAAGATCTTATATAGGATTAGTATGTTTGAAACGCTGAATGAAATATGTGATTTCCTTCCAACATAGGGAAAAGTTGATGGCTATAATAGTTTTCCTAGAGCTGCCTTAACGGGGCACTATAAACAAGCTGCTTAAAGCCATCAGCCCACTACCTCTTTGGAACCACGGGCTGGTTTCATGAAAGACAAATTTTTCCTAAAGACCAAATGCACTATTTTTATTGTGTACTTTATTATCATTGCATCATAATATATAATGGAATAATTATAACACTCACAAGAATATAGGATTAGTGGGAGCCCTGACCTTGCATTCCTGCAGCTAGATGGCCCCATCTGGGGATTCTGGAAGACAGTGAAACTCTAAGTGTGTTGCTTATGTCAACTACTAATCTAATTTTTGTTGCTATCACTACAGAAAATATTTGCTTCACAAAAATAGGATATTAAAAAGAGAAATAGTCTTTGCAATGCTGTTATCATCATAGACTAAAGGAATCAGCAAAAATATACATGGATTTGTCTTGAAGAGGGAACTATTTGAATTGCAAACATAGTAGAATTTAGAGCTTCAGCACCAGATCAATGAATCCATTTGTGGTGAAAAAAAATTGAAGAGTTTCTTAGTCGAGGGATAAGAGTCAGCAAAGGAAAGGAAAACCCGTGATACACTGCTAGGAAAGAAAGTGGTATCCAAAGGAAAGGTGTATCAGACATCACCAAGTTTAAGAGTGTCATGAGGTTGGGCTTTACAGGTGGGAGCAGAAAACTCTTTCTGATGCATATGAACACACACACACACACACACACACACACACACACAAACACATTTGGAGGCACTGGAGAAACCAGCTGGAGGAAATGTGAATTAAAGAAGTTTTAAAGTGGTTGACACAGAAGTAAATCTTTTTCTCGGTCATGTTTTGTATAATTATCCATAATATATTTTTTGATCATTAAATATAATATAAGATGCTAGGTATCTCCAAATATTTTCCCAGACAAAAACAAAACTCAAGGCACTAAAATATAGATAGACTATTGAATTTCTTTAGGTTTCCTGTTTTCAATAAATTTTTAAAATTATAATAAGATCCTCGATGCCATAAGAGATAATGGGTCTTACTATCTATCAGAAAATAAGACAGATAATAATACATATGACTGCCCACATAATAAATCACTGACTAGAAATAAACATGAGTACAGTTTCTTTCCATCTTTCAAATTCAAGAGAAACCTTGGGAATTCATTATAATTAAGGGAACTCTTGCAAACCGTGCATACTCCATGCCTCATCCTCAGAATTACCTTGCTTAGAGACCTCTTTCAGACAAATTCATGCGCCATAATCACATTGGTACTCTCAGCATTGCTCATACTTCTTGATCCAATTAAAAACACAACTTCGTAAATACCTCCTTAATTTATATTTGTATATCTGTGCCTGTTATTTCCCCTATTAAATCTTTAATTCTTCTAGTTCTTCCATAAATCCAGTGGTTTTTATATAGAATTTATCCTCACTACTGAATATAATTGTTACATTTATAACCATTTTTGCTATGTCTTTTCCCCATATAGACATACATTTTAGAATGCTGATATCATACTAGTAACATAAAAATTACATTAAAATATCAATATCATTCATGTGTATAGAAATGGAAATCCTTAATTTTAGAAAAGAAAATTTAGAGCTATATAAACTATATTACACAATGACAACTGGATTTTAGCTCAGGGATGTAAGATTTCACACTCAAGGAAACTCTCCCCAGCAACCAGGAATAGTAGAGAATGTGCCCTGACTCCTGAAGGCCGTCTACAGAGAACCTGCAGAAACACCACACTCCGCAGTGAAAGGCTAAGGGGAATTTCCTTAGCACCAGCAATAAGGCAAACATTTCCTTCGCACCCTCTGTTCAACCTTGTGTTGGAGGCCTGGGCCACCAGAATGAGTCAAGAAAAGTACGCAGCATACAGAAAATGGAAAGAAAGAAGGATATTTCCAGGGCAACTGCCTCTTTTCAGACTGTCTTTTCTAAAGGGACTTATAATTTTGGTTAAGAATTTCATGGTAAATAGGTTATAAGTTCCATCATTAGGAAGAAAGACAAATGAAGCATGATTGTATGATTATATACTTATCCTAAGTAAGTAACTTAAAATGTGATGCAAGAAATAATATTGTATGTGAAGTTTATTAGCAGAACTCAAAATGAATATATATATATATATATATATATATATATATATATGTTACATACACACACATGTTCATATGTGCCAACATGTTTAAATTGAAAATTCAAAGAATAATAGTTTATTGTAGTGTACATAAACATAGAATCATTAGGAATAAGTTGTAATTTGGTATATAGTTCAGGAGTCTCACTACCAAATATATAACCAATGACACTGAAATCCCCGTATTAAAAACCACTTGCACTACTGTATTCATAGCAGCAATATTCACAAATGCCTGGATCCGAAATTGAGGGTCCATCATCAAATGAACGGATAGAGACAAGGTGGTGCATATCCAAAATGGAAAACTTTTCAGGCATTAAACTCACTGAGTCCTGTTGTTTGTGACAGCTGGGATAGAGATGGAGGACACTGTGGTGTGGAGTAGGTCAGGGACAGGAAGACAAATGCTGTGAATTAGCGATAAGTGCAATCTAAAATGTTAGTCTCACAGGAGTTTAAGTCAAGAGTAAAATGGTGATTATTAGAGACAGGGAAATAAGGGGGAAAGAACAGAAAAAGATCAGCAAATGAGTACAGGGTTACAATTAGATAGGAGGAATAAGTCCTGGTGTTCTATGGTACAGCAGAGTAATTATTATTGAAAATAATGCATTATATAATCACCAAATAGTTAAAATGGAGGACTTTGAATATACGTCTAATAAAGAAATGATAGAATTATAATGTGATATATATCTGAATTTCCCTGAATTGATCATTACCCAATATATATGTGAATCAAAACCTCATAAATATATACAAATGTTATTGTCAAAATTAAATTTTAATACTTCTCAAATGAAGAAATAGAAATGACAAGTGAATATAAGAAAAAATATTCAATATCATTGTTCATTAAAGAGATGCAAATTAAAACAAAAATGAGATTCTACCTCACCCTGGAACAAGTGGCTATTATCAAGAAATCAACCAATAATAAATGCTGGATGGGCTCTGGGGAAAAAGGAAGTCTTCTCCACTGCTGTTGGGAATGCAGATTGGTGTAACCACTCTGGAAATCAATGTGAAGATCCCTCAAAAAACTAGGATTGGCAGTTACATACCTTCCCAGCAGTATTAAAAACATTGTATCACAGCAATATATGTGCATCAATATTTATACAATTTGTAATAGCTAAATCTTACAAACAACTCAAATGCCCATCAACCAAAGAATGGATAAAAGAGATGTGGTCTTTTTATATGTGGAGTACCACTCAGCTGTAAAGAAGGACAAACTTGAGACTTTTGTAGGTAAATGGATGCAACTAGAGACCACACACAGCAGTGAAATAAATCAGATTCACATCTACGAACATCATATTGTCTCCCTAGTGTTAGCAAAAAAATATATACATATGCATATAATATATATGTATGCATAGAAGGAAAGAGACAGTTAAGATATACTGCTAATTTCTTAGTTCATTTAATAGGAAGGTTTATGTTAATATTGTTTGAGCAATTAGTTGCTGATATCTTGTATTCTGTATAACTTATTTAAAGATAACAATATGCAATGTATTAAGCATTGTTACCCTCTAAAAATATTGTTTTGAAATTTCTCTTTAAAACAAAAAGATAAAGCTTAACATCCTTTTCAAGGACATGTCTGCAATGACTGAAGGAGATCCCACTAGGGTCTACCTCTTAGGGGGTCCACCCCCTCCCAGTAACAGTCTGGGCTAAGGAAGTCAGTTTTTAAAAACAATTACCCTAATCAGGGCAAGGACCAACTAATAAACAAAATAAATTTACATAGAATCTGCATTTTAAAAAAACATAATAAATAATATAAAACTAAATAGGGAGAGGTAATGTTCTTAAGAATTAAAAAGCTCAGTATCCTTGAAATTTCTGTTCTCTTTAAACTGTTCCTAAATCCATACACAGGTCATATAGAACTTAGAAATTAATGAGTTAATTATAGTGTTTATATGGGCATTCAAAGGGTCTAGAAGAAGCACAATGTTTTTAAAAATAAGAACCACCTAGGACCATCACACTACCTAATTTCAAGGCTTATGAAGCTGTACTAATCAAAATGCTGCGGTATAGGTGTAAAGACAGTACATCAGTGGTAGAAAATACTAGAAATAGTCTCATGTATTGCAGCACTGAGTCGCAACATAATTGCTGAAATAATTCAAGAGAAAAAGGATTTCTTTTCAAAAAATCTAGTTGGTAGAATTATGCATACAAATTTTAAAATGATTTTTACTT